AAGAAATAATGGCAGAAATAGAAAATAAGAATAAACCTAAAGGATATTATTTTGAGTGAAATAAGCCAGACAGAGAGAGACAAATACTGTATAAACTCATTTATATATGAAATCAAAGTCAAACTCATAGATGTAAAGGCAGAAATGTGGTTACCAGAGCCTGGGGGGGTCAGGAGTGGTATAGCTGACAAAAGGGAAGATATTGGTCAATGGGTATAAAGCTATAGTTAGTAGGGACAAGTTCAGGTGCTCTATGGCACAGCGAGGTGACTATAGCTAATAATAATGTATTATATATTTCAAAATAACAATAAGAGCATTTTATATGTTCTCACTTCAAAGAAATGATAAAAATATGAGTTGATAGAATATCAATTACCCCAATTTGATCATTTCACAAGGTAAACATATCAAAACATTACATGGTACCATAAATATATAAAATTATTTGCCACTTAAAAATAAAACTCAAGCCAGGCATGGAGGTGCACGTCTGTAATCCCAATGGCTCAGGAGGCTGAGACAAGTTCACAAGTTCAAAGCCAACTTCAGCAAAAGCAAGTCACTAAGCAACTCAGTGAGACCTTGTCTCTAAATAAAATACAAAATAGGGCTGGTGATGTGGTTCAGTGGTCATGTACCCCTAAATTCAATCCCCAGTACACCCAAAATAATAAAGAGTAATAAAAACTCAATAATAATAATATTTACAACCAACTAAGGGTTCATATATAAAAAAAAAAGGACTCTCCCAAACTAATAAGAAAAAGATAGGGCTGGGGATATGGCTTGGTGGTAGAGTGCTTGCCTAGCATGCACAAGGCCTTGGGTTCAATCCCCAGCACTACCACACACAAAAAGAGGAGGAGGGATATACCTCAATAAAAAATAAATTACAAACAAGCATTTCACAAAAGAGGACAGCCAAATATCTAATAAACATATGAAAAAAATAATCACTATGATTATTTATCAAGGAAAAGCAAAGTCAAACCACTATCCCTCAGATAGGTCACGAATAATGTCAAGCCTCAGTAAGGAACTGTTCCCTTTAAAACAATAGGAAACTCATACAGTGCTAGGGGTTGTTACAATCATTTTAGAAAATTGTTTGGCATTAGCTATTCAAGTTGAACACATACATTCAACAACTGAACCTTCTAAGTATATGGCTACAAAGCCACAAAAATGTGAGAATATTCCTAATAGTATTATCCATAATTGTTTGAAACTAGAAACAATTCAAATGTCCATCAACAGTAAACTAGATAAGCATATGGCAGTATATGTTTCACAACACATACAATACAGCAAAGAAAACGGACTGCAGCCACCCACGGAACTAATATGATGAATCTCACAATCCTAATGTTGAATGAGAGAAGCCAGTAGTACAAAAGTACATAACACATACTGCATAATTCAATTATGAGAATTTACAAACTATACCAGATGATGGGGTTTAGGGATATTTACTTCCATGGTAAATCTAAAAAGAAATACAAGGGCTGGGCATGGTGGCACACACCTGTAAGCCATGCAACTCTGGAAGCTGAGGCAGGAAGACTGCAAGTTGAGGCCAATCTCAGCAACTTAGTGAGACCCTAAGCAACTAAGCAAGAGCCTGTCTCAAAATTTATTTATTTTTTTTTTAAAGGGATGGGATTGGGCTTGGGTTGTGGATCAGCGGTAGAGCACTCTCCTAGCATGGGTGAGGCACTGGGTTCTATCCTCAGCACCACATGAAGATAAATAAATAAAGCTATTGGGTCCATCTAAAACTAAAAAATATTTTTAAAAAGGGGTCATGTACCCTAAATTCAAAAAAGGGGGGAACTGGGATTATGGCTCAAAAGCACCCAAGTTTTTAACTTCCAAAAAGAAAAAAAAAAAAGTTGGAGGTGGATAGAAGGGAGTAATTGCCATAAATTAAAAATGATAGCTCCCTGTGGAGGCAGGGTGAAGACAGTGCTTTAGTGCTTGGGCAGAGGGTTTGGGGTACCAGCAAAGTTCCAGTTCTCTACCTGAACAGTAGTTACACAAGTATTTGCTTCATAATAAAATGTTAGGCTGTATACTGATTTTATTGGGTTTTTTTTGTTTGGTTTGGTTTGGTTTTGAGGCAGGGTCTTGGTAAGTTGCTAAGATTAGCTTCGAACGTATAATCCTCCTATCTCAGCCTCCTGAGTCACTAGGATTACAGGCATGTGCCATCAATGCCCAGCTGATTTTATGTATTTCCTTATGATGTGCTATGTCATAATCATAATAAAAGAAATTTTTAAAGAAAGGAAAAGAGAACATACCTAAATTATTGAGGACCTTTAGTAATATTTTCTTCTCACATTTCTTTAGCTGTCTTGTGTTCTAGAGCAATAGGGAATCGGGAGCCTTATCTAAACAAAACAAAACAAAAACTATCTACTCCCCCTAACAGACCTGGAAGGTCATAAATCACCAATTTTAAAAGTAGGAACTGAGTAACAAAAAGCTCAATCAAGGTCATCCAGCCCCTGCCCTACTCCACACCCATCCTTTCCCTGCTTTTCTCCCTAGGTCTGTATTTCTAAAGACCAAGTAGAAGCAACATGGGCCAAGCCAACTTTAGCCCCAATAAGGCCCAAAATGTTTGTTATCCCTTGAGAACACTGACCCTTCCTCACTCCCAAGGAAATGGCAGGAAATATGTTTGGCCTCTTTCTAGAGGCCACAGAATGGCCTGGGGAAGACTCTGAGCCTTGGGGTCAGGCCCAGAATGGGAATCCTGACCTCTGAGATTCTAGGGCCCACCACAGCTCTAACCTGCTCCAAGACACTGCTTCCCATGGAAGGGTCTCAGGTGTCAGTACACCCAACCCTCATGCCTGCAAGAGAGGACATCCAGGAAGTAAAGGAGTTCCCAGCAGAGAAATTAGGCAGTTGAAGGTTTCAGTGCAGAGATATTAGAGTGACAGATAAAGACTTCCTAAGTAGGAAGGAAGGGCTTTTAAATCTCAAGCTTCATTACTGATAGAAAACAAATCAAGGATTATTTTCAGAAGGAGCTGAAAGAGATATAAACTTAAGAGCTCATTCAGTAGAAGCTGTTGCTTATCCAAAATCAAATCCCTTGAGTTACTTAAGCTGCCTAGACAGAACGTCATGAGAGATCAGGCTCCTGACATATGAGTCAGAAATGGTCCTCATTCCATTCTAGAATCTGTCCAAGCAACTTCCCTTCCTCATGTCAAAGTGAAAACACAGGTGAACAAAATCCTACTGTAAAAATTACAGCCAAGGCTGTGCTGGATCAGGCCAAATAGACCTCAAACCTCAGGGTAGCTTTCTTCTGTTGACTTGGAAAACATCTTGCCCTCAGAAGACAAGATGGAACAGCTTCAGGTAGAGCCCATGAGAGAGACAACTGTTAGAGCAGCAAACCAGCTAAGGCAGAAGTGCAATCATCATACACACACAGCAGGGGCGGAGAGAGGTAGAAGGCCTGGCAGCTGTGTCAGCAGCAACCTTGACCTCGACAGGCAGCAACTGCTCTAACCAAGACCTGGTATTTGGGGGAAAGGGTGACAACTCATAGCCAGTGTTGGTTTCAGCTTCAAGTAGAAATGTGGATGTGCAAATAATGACTGATCAGGCTACATCCTGGCTCTCAAGCCCTAAGAGCCGTTGTGTCCAGTTTGTTAGCATAAACTATATACTATGTGATCCTCTGCAGAGTTGGGCTATCTTACTTTTTCTTCCTTTCTCAAACATTGCATTGAATATCTTAGAAAGTGCCAGGCACAGTGTTGAATTGGGGGTAGGAAGACAGCAACAGCTACTTCCTATTCTCAAGAGACTCTGGGGCAAACAACATGCTCCCCAAAGAGCTTACACTCATCCTGAGTTTACACCTAAAATAAAGAAACCCTCATCGAGACATGCCTGCATGCCAGCCTATACAAATGCTAAATGTCTATTTCTGTCTTTCAAGTTTCAATACATTCCTTTTCAGTTAAGACACAGATGGGAGCTAAAGGGTGACTTATGCCATCAGTATCAACACTGAGTACAGTTTCTGGTCAATCCAGAAGAAGGGAGCGGATCATACACACATGAATAACATACATAAATGCTGTAAGGTTCAAATGTGGGTCTTCAGTCCTTTGTCCAGCAGATGCCTCTGTGACTCCAATAACATTTTTAATTAATGTATAATCTGAAGCTCCAAAAGTCAAATGCTGCTTGATGGCAGCACTGGAACTTGAGTGACAAAGACTGGGAAGTACCTAGGAGATCTAGATCCACTAAAAGGGGATGAGCCTCCAAGTTGAAAAGGCTCCCATCCCAGACAATAGGGAGTCCAGGATGCTAGGAAGAGCACATTGAGCAGGTCCTTTCCTTTGCCATCCTACTTTGTTTCAGTTTCAATTTTATTGGAAATTGGAGCTAAATAAGGATTTAAAATATAGGTGGCGTTCTTATAGACAAAGTTCTATAGCTAAGAGGGAATGATAGCAAGCGGATCAAGTTTGTTTCCTCTCCCAGACAGCACTGACCTCTGTCACCACATTACTACTAAAATGAAACACAATTATAAAATCATGGAATTATATCTTGGATTTATTTTTTAAAATCTTATTCAAAATATTAAATAATACAATTTCAAATATGAAAAAAACTACTGCAATAAAACAGTTTGGGTGTATTTCTATTGTGCTTCCTTTCCTCATTGGGGCAGTCAAGTGTCCAGCCAAGAGGAAGGATGGACGGTGCTGCTTCTTCTCTCTCTACACAAAGCACATGACTGTGGCTCGCCCGGGCCTTGTTTAACACATAGTAGAGGTGATGCTTTCTGAAAAGTTGTAGTGACACTTGTAAGTCAAACATGGTTCAAATCACTTATTTACATACTGATCAATTCTTTGTGATAGAAAGACAGACTCAAAGGAAATACAGTAAATAACTTCCAGTTGCTATAAAAAATAAACAAACAAGAAATAATTTCAAATAATTACAAATAATTTCATTCAGGCATAATTTTAATTTGAAAGACTGAGATACAGTCTTATTTAAGTGACAATGGGCCCTAAAATTTACTCAAACTTACTATACAATAAAAACCAAAATGAACAAATGATATAATTTTAAACTCTGCCCACTGCTTGAAATTTTTGAGGAACCTGTGGTTCAATCAACTGCTAACTAAAAGTAATTCTTCGTCTATTTAACATTTTACCAATTTCTACCTGTAATTCAATAATTCAAACCAAAAAATGATATCTATATAATATTTTATCTACAATCACTGAAAATTCAGTCTCTTCTGCCAGAATTTTTAGACACATTTAATATGCTACCTAAAACTGTAGTGGGATTGAGCAGTCTCATTATCTTAAACTGTATTTTAATTGCCTAAAATACACAAAGCAATTTTCTGTAGAGAAAAAAGTGTGTTACTTGAATGCAAAGTACTATTACAAATACCCTTGCATATTTTGGCTTGGGACCGCAAAGTAATGTGTCTTTAAAAAATAAGTCAATAGTACTAACTATGTTAGAATTTAGTTACAAGTCTGGGATCTTTAAAAGTAGCATTACTTCCAGAACAAGTACAATGAATGGAAAATAACAAAAACTACCAGTGTAAATGTAAGGTAATGCTTAACTCACATTTCAGACAACACCTGATTTAATTCAGCTCTAAAAATGTAGATTTAAAAATCACATACTCCCTGTTTGTGACATTCAATTTCCAAAGCACCAAGGCAAAAGAGAGACATGCGCCTCTCATTTAAGTACCAACTGCCTATGGCAAACAACTGCACAATATCATATAAAAAGTCAAGCAAATAAAATTATATAATGAGCAAACTCAAATCACAGTGCTTTAAAAAATATAATCATTGGTAATCTTCAGAGAAGGCATGGCCTCATTAACGTTCTGGTCTAGACGATGATATTCTACTGTTTTGGAACAAAGGCCATCACGCCATTTCCTGCTTTGAACTAGGAGGAAAATCTGGAATAAAAAAGAAAATTAATTAGATGTACAAAAGAAAAAAAAAAGATATAGTAAAAGTTTTTATAACAAGTGAAATCTCTCTCTCTTCAGTTCCCAAAACTAAAATATCAACAATAAAAAAGGCTATTTTGTTTTTTCATCTTATAAACAAGGTCAGACAGTGCTTCTCAGATGTCAATGGACACAGGAGTGACTCTGATTCTGGGGCTCTATTTTTAGCCTGAATTAGGAGCTGAGATGGAGCCCAGTAGCCCACTTTTTCACAAGTCTATTAGGAGTTATAACGAAGATAGTCCAACACCAAACATTAGGGTACAATATCACTAGCATTCAAAAATCTGTCTATCTACAAATTCAAAGCCAGTGATAGGTCAGTAATGACAAATAACCTGAGGGTTAGTTTGTTTGCTATTTTCTTTCTTTTTTGGGGGCCGGGGGGTAGGGTAGGGATGGTAACCAGAGATTAAACTCTGGGGCACTTGGCCACTGAGCCACATCCCCAGCCCTATTTTGTATTTTATTTAGAGAAGGATCTCACTGAGTTGCTTAGCGCCTCACTTTTTTGCTGAGGCTGGCTTTAATCCTCCTGCCTCAGCCTCCTAATCCACTGGAATTACAGGCATTTACCACCACGATCGGCTTTCTTTGCTACTTTCTATTATTAGATTAACTGATTCTCAAAGTTATAAGCATTTTGAAATTGGCCCAATTTTGCCATTTCTTGGATAAGAAAATGAAGCTCAGAATAGGAAGACGACTTTCCAGGAATTAAAAGCAATAGTCAAGAACTGAGATTTCCTGACCATTAGTATTAAAAAGGAAATTCTGTGTTTGATCTCTCTTTGAGTATTCTGAAAAGCTCAACTCTTCAGCCTTTATGTATGGTACAGAGATGCACTCTTATATTAAATCACCCAGCCAGTGTTTTAGCATAGAAATGTTTGTTACAATATTATTTATGAACCAAAAATTGGAAATCATCTAAATGTCCAATAGGAAAATGGCTGAATCAATTATACAGCTATCAAACAATGTTTTTAAAGAATATTAATATTATAGAAAATGGTCAGGATTTGTTAGGCAAAAAGCAAGATAAAAAAACATATAAAATTCATTTAAAATTTATACACATGTATGTATGAATTATATATACACTTATAGATCAGAAATATTCCAAAATGTTAATACCCTTGGATAATAGCTTGAATTTTATTTTCTAAACTCATGTTTTCTGAATTTCCTAAAATAAACATTAAATACTTTTAGAGCCAGTGTGAGTACTATTTAAAAAAAAAAAAAAGATTATAAAATCATAGTACTCACAACTGAGATATCAATGCTAAATGACGACATAAAAATTTTTTTAAAAAAATTTTTTGTAACATGTTACAACAGCAACTCAGGAAGCTGAGGCAGGAAAATCACAAATTTGAGACCAGCTGTAGTAACTTATTAAGATCCATTTCAGGGGCTGGGGATTTGGCTCAAGCGGTAGTGCGCTCGCCTGGCATGTGTGCGGCCCTGGGTTCGAGCCTCAGCACCACATACAAACAAAGATGTTGTGTCCACCGAAAACTAAAGATTAAATATTAAAAAAATTCTCTCTCTCTCTCTCTCTCTCCCCCAAAAAAAAAAAAAAAAAAGATCCATTTCAGCCAGGCATTTAGCACACACCTATAATCCCAGCAGCTTCAGAGGCTGAGGCAGGAGATTCACAAATTCAAAGACAGCCTCAGCAACTTAGGCCCTAAGCAACTTAGCAAGACCCTGTCTCTAAATAAAATATTTTTAAAGGGGCCAGGGTTAAGCACCCCTGGTTTCAATCCCCAGTACCAAAAAAAAAAAAAAACACCCTGTCTCAAAATGAAAAATAAAAAGGACTGGGGATAAGGCTCAGTGATATGGCACCCATGGGTTCAATACCTAGTACTGAAGAGGAAAAAAACAAACAAAAAAATATTGACCTTGCGTTTTATTCATTAAGAAATAATTTGACACCTTTTTTTTAAGAAACACATACAAGTATTCTGTCTGTAGTTTGTTAAAATACACCACAGATTTACAAATCAATTAGACAGCTTGATATTTTACCAATTTAAACTAAAATATAATTGATAAGAAATATAACTGAGCTAATAATACACAACGAGGCTGAAAAATCCCCCAAACTTACCTTCCTTTTATTGTGATATGTAACATAAACAATTGCAATACAGAAAGCAAAAAAAATAAGATGAAAAAAGAAATGGCTGTCTTCCTCTTCAACATTTGAGGATGGGGCCTTAAAAGATTTCACTGACTGTTCAATTTCCATGTAACCCCTGTTTTCTTCTAAAGTCTCATCGGACTCATCCCTGGGGCTGGTGGTCCAGTCATAGTCTGGTTCTCCATAATCTCCATTGTCCATAGTGTCTTTGGCTGTAGATGGAGAACTATTCAATGAGAGAAGATCCTCCTCCTCCATGCTCGGATCTTCATTGTTATCAGCTTCCTCTTGGGACAGAGAAGTGGTAGGGGAGGGATGGGGGGCTGTAGATGCTCTTCCACTTTTCTCTGTACTGGTTGCAGGAGGGAGAGTGGTACTGATATGGGAAATAGAAGATTTGATCAGGTTTTCTTGTGTTACAGCTTTCATATTTGAAGTAGAAATATGTGAGCTTTGTACAGTTTGGTCCAGTGATTCTGTTAGTGAAAGAGCTGAAATAAAGGAAGAAAGCCATTACCTTGAAATCTCCAACTCATCTCTACCAAGCTAAAAGCAATATTTAGTTCAATTTTTAATTAAGCATTACCCTCTGCTAAATTCTTATAACTTTCTCTCAAGAACTAGTTATTAAGTCTCAATAGCCAGCAATCAGTTATATTTCTTTTAAGTTAATTATTCATCAGGTAAAACAATTGCTTTGCTGGGTAGTAACAATTTAAGTAGCATAATGAACCCACTGTGGCATAGCCCACCACTGAAAGAAAACAGTGGGATCTGACTTTAGGTCAGATGAAAAAGTCCACATACAGCCCTTACCCATTCCTGCTAGCTTCCGTTCATGGAGAGGCTAGACTTCAGTAATCTTTGTCCAGGCTCCACCCTATCCCCAGAACAGAGAGCTGGCTAATCATGGGTCAAGAAGTCACAAAAAAGATATGTAATTTGGAAACTTAATACTTGTAATATAACTAATTTAAGAGAAGATACAAGCAAGCTGTCCAGCATTCCTAAGTGACACTTGAACTGGAAGACTCCCTCATTCAGAGTTTTTAAAGTACCCACAGAAGAAAGAAAGGGAAAAGTCATAAAGGACAAAAATTAGAAACTGGAACTTGAAAGCTCAGTGACAGCTTTGTTAGACTATGATAATGACTGGGGAAGGGGCAGGATCTGTAACTCAGTGATAACAGCACTTTCCTAGTATGTGTGAGGCCCAGAGTTCAATGTTCAGCACCTCACAAACACACCAAAAAAAAAAATATTTACACCCTGGCGCAGTGGCACACACCTGCAATCCCAGTGACTCAGGGGGCTGAGGCAAAAGGATCCCAAGTTTGAGGTCAGCCTCAGCAATTTAGTGAGGCCCTAAGCAAATCAGCAAAACCCTACCTAAAAATAAAAAAAGGCCTGAGAGTGTAGCTCAGTAGAGTACCCCTGGATTCAATCCCCATATGAACAGAAGAAGAAAACAAAAAGTATTTACAAAGACTGGAGGAGGCAATCTAGGTATAGGAAATGATATCTAGTAGACACCAATTCTCAGTTCCCTATGGTGCTACCTACTCAGCATGGTTTAGAAAATTATTTATGTAAGTAACTATATAACAAGAAGTATTAATAGAGGCAGATTCAACTGAGGAATTCCTGTTGAAATTAACCAGTGTTTCTAATACATAACTGAATGTAGAATTTGTTGAAGACCTTCGAGGACATCTATTATGCTTTTTTTTTTTTTTTAAAGAGAGAGAGAGAGAGAATTTTAATATTTATTTTTTTTAGTTTTTGGCGGACACAACAACTTTGTTTGTAAGTGCTGAGGATCTAACCAGGGCCGCACGCATGCCAGGTGAGCGCACTACCGCTTGAGCCACATCCCCAGCCCTATTATGCTTTTTTTTTTTTTTAAAAAGGCTTGTGGGATATAAATATATTTAGATAATATTTTAAAGCCTATCAAATTAAAATAAAATATTTTATGGGGATAAGATTAAACCAAGCCACACTAGGCCTTTCACAAACGTGTGCATGTACAGACAATCCTTTATGTGAATATATTTGTTTACTTAACACAGTTGATATCTATTTCATGTAGCTGGTTTCAGCTAGGATGAATAGTATCTCCCAAGAAAATAATTTAATAAATTATTTTAAAAAGATTAGGGCTGATGGATGTAACTCAGTTATAGAGCATTTGCCTAGTATGTATGTGCAAGGTCCTGGATTGGATCAACAGCACTGAAAAAAGTAAAAAAAATAAAATGATAGTAGCCAGACATGGTGACACAGACCTATAATCCCAGCTACTCAGGAGGCTGAAGCAGGAAGATCAAAAAGTTTAAGGTTAGCCTGGGCAACATAACAAGACCCTATCTAAAAATAAAATTTTTATTTTTTTTATTGATTTTAATTTTTAAATACATGACAGCGGAATGCATTACAATTCTTTTTTTAAATTTTTTTTAATATTTATTTTTTTAGTTTCCAGCAGACACAACATCTTTGTTTGTATGTGGTGCTGAGGATCGAACCTGGGCCGCACGCATGCCAGGCGAGCGCGCTACCGCTTGAGCCACATCCCCAGCCCTACAATTCTTATTACACATATAGAGCACAATTTTTCATATCTCTGTTTGTATATAAAGTATGTTCACACCAATTCATGTCTTCATACATGTACTTTGGATAATGATGTCCATCACATTCCACCATCATTGCTAACCCCCTGCCCCTTCACTTCCCCTCCCACCCCTCAACCTATCTACAGTTCATCTTTTCCTCCCATGCTCCCCCTCCCTACTCCACTATGAGTCAGACTCCTTATATCAGAGAAAACATTTGGCATTTGTTTTTTGGGGATTGGCTAATCACTTAGCATTATCTTATCCAACTCCATCCGTTTACCTGCAAATGCCATGATTTTATCCTCTTTTATTGCTGAGTAATATTCCATTATGTATATATGCCACATTTTTTTAATCCATTCATCTATTGAAGGGCATCTAGGTTGGTTCCACAGTTTAGCTATTGTGAATTGTGCTGCTATAAACATTGATGTGGCTGTGTCCCTGTAGTATGCTGTTTTTAAGACCTTTGGGTATAGACCGAGAATAGCTGGGTCAAATGATGGTTCCATTCCCAGTTTTCCAACAAATCTCCATACTGCTTTCCATACTGGCTGCACCAATTTGCAGTCCCACCAGCAAGTGTGCCTTTTCCCCCCACATCCTTGCCAACACTTATTGTTGTTTGTCTTCATAATAGCTGCCATTCTGACTGGAGTGAGATGATATCTTAGAGGAATTTTGATTTGCATTTCTCTAATTGCTAGAGATGATGAACATTTTTTTCATATATTTGTTGATTGATTATATGTCATCTTCTGAGAAATGTCTGTTCATGTCCTTGGCCCATTTATTGATTGGGTTATTTGTAGGTTTTTTTTTTTTTTTTTGGGGGGGGGGGGGGTGCCTAGCTTTAAAAGGGGGATGGGAATATAGTTCAGTGGTCATGTACTTGCCTAGCATGTGTGATGCCCTACATTCAACCCCCCGTGCTACAAAAATAAAAATAAAGAAAGAAAATAAAAAATTAAACTCTTAAAACATTCTCAGTTATTGGGTTCCTTGAAATTGTTTACTAGAAGAAAAGAAAAATAGGGGCTGAGGCTGTAGCTCAGTGGTAGAGCGCTTGTCTTGCATGTGTGAGACCCTGGGTTCAATTCCCAGCACCACATAAAAATAAACAAATAAAGATATTGTGCCATCTACAACTAAAAAATATATTTAAAAAAAGAAAGAAAAGAAAAATAGGACCTCTTGCAGAGTACACAATTCAAAAACTATTAAACAGGGACTTCTAAAAAGAATTTTTACATTCATCACTTCAACTTAGTTAAGTTCAGGTTATACATTACTATTTCTATAATGCATTTAACTTTTGTCCCAAAGTATAGCCAGTCATGTTTTTAAATAAAATTAAAAATTCAAATAACTGAGAGCCAAGTAATTAACCATGACTTTCAAAACAATTGTTATTCTACATCTGACTTTTTGGATACTCATTTATGTCTAAAGAACACAAGCTGATACCTGGGGGAATGATTATAAAGAAAGTCTCCATGGAGCACTCTAGAATTCACAATCCTCAGCAGATCTCTCCTTCCATCCTCCATTCTCTTGGTATAACTAAAACCTAACAGTCCCTTAAAGACACACTAGCCCTACAACCCTTTTAATTAATAATTTATTCTCCCACCATCCTTGTACCACAGATTCTGCCTCATACAGATTAGACCATTCCCTCCATAAGCTCCACAAGCTGTGAGTCTCATATCTTCAGCTATCACTCACTTTTGTCAGGTTGTGTCCTCTAATTTTTAATGATTTCAGCTCCTGGCTCTTAAAGTTTAATACAAGACAAGTACTCCTGTCTTGATTTCAACATCTTTAACCTCCCCTCTTCTGATAAGCTAGCCCTCCCTCCTTACATTAGTCTCTCTTGCCCATGGTCATTATCTCTTATCACAACTCTTCCATCAACTATTTCATGCATTCTACTTGCTGACACAGCCTCCTATCCTTTCAGCTCATCCCCTGGTATTCTCAATCCATCAAGACTACTACTCTCTGATCCTCACACTTTTCACCCATCCTTGGCCTCCACCAAACCCCACCAATACATACTCTTCGCTTTTTTAACCAAGATTCAATTCTGTGATCAGCCATTACAATCCCTGCCCTACATCCACAGCCCCTTCCCTTCCCTCTTACTCATTTTGACTCATTCATTTGGTGAGGCAAAATCTACCCCTCATTAAATCAAGCTTTCCGACAATTCACCAAGGGCATCAAGCAGCTGAACATGGCTGGAAATAAATATACATCCTTGCTACTGTTTTCATTTGAAATTCAAAACCAAAAATTCAGATTATGTTTAAAGATATATAAAGATATTATATACTGTATTTCTGGTCCATTTGCCCTCCTCCCCTCTTAGGATGCAATTCACATTTTCCTCTATCAAATTTCCAACACCTTCTCTGTTACTCTCATTTTCAACTGACATCACTTCCTAACTTCTCAGTGAAAAATGAAGCCATCAGAAGGGAACTTTTGTGAACTGCCAGAACTCTGGACCCATATGCCTGCTTGACATCTCCTCTCAGATGTCTGACATTCAAATTAACAGGTTCAAAATGGATTATCACTGGTTTACAGGAAGACAGATGTACTCTTCCCTATTTCTCCCACTAAGAACCACTAAAACCTTTGAACATTATATACATATAATGTAAGAAGACTCTGAAAGGTGGAAAGAACAAGGCAGGACAGTTACAAGACTCAGAACCTAAGAAATGACATGGTAGTGACTTCCCCGGTACTATAGCTTGGATCTGTAATGTTCCCCAAAGGTCCATATGTTAAAGGCTTGGTGCCCAGCTTGGCAGTATTGAGAGGTGGTAGAAACTTTAAGATGGAGGACCTACTGGGAG